CTCTTCCGATCTCCCCAAAACCCCAAAACCCCAAAACCCCATGAGGCATTCAGATAATATTATAATTAGAATTAATAGATAGATTGGCTGTGAAGATATATATTTCGAGAAATATTATTATTGTTTATCAATATAATGAGATAATACGTTTCTGATGGATATAATACTCAATAGGGATATTGTTTCATTGTCTGGTGCTTCTAACTTCAACGTCTCTAAGATCTGAATAGGTGTCAACGTTGTTAACGTTATAGTTGCTAGCTAAGAGGTCAATTTGATCAAGAGTAGATTTTTGAGTCTTTGAAAGGACTGGATTTCCGTATCTATCATACTTTGTTGTTTTTGAGACAACTTTATCAGCAGCGTCTTGTAGTGTGTCTGAGGCCACAGAATTTTGATAGTTAGCGAATTTGCTTGCAAAGTCTTGGACCTTGGTTCCATAAATCTTTTGCATTGTCTCGAGGTATGATTACTCCTTAAGTTGATGCTTTTGTTGATAAAGTGGGTCGTAGTAACCGTATTGTGGGGCTTCAACGTATGGCCCATATTGATCTTCGATATTTTATAATTCATCAGCCTAATCGAGGGTGTTTCTTAACTCTTTTAGTGCCTTGGATGATTCTACTTTGGTTCCATAAATCTTTTACATAGTCTCAAGATAGGATTGCTCCTTGAGTTGATGTTTTTGTTGGTAAAGTGGGTCGTAGTATCCCCATTGTGGTGATTGTACGTTGGCATAGTGGCCGTAGATGTTTTGCATTCCGCTCAAGTAGGCTTGTTGTTTCATTTCTCTCTCAACATCAGCAAGTGGGTCAGATCTCTTTTCAACCTTTGGATCTTCGACCTTGGTTCCGTAGATCTTCTACATGGTCTCAAGGTATGATTGTTGCTTAAGTTGATGCTATTGTTGGTAGAGTGGGTCGTAGTAACCGTACTGTGGTGATTGAACGTTAGCGTAGTGACCATAGATGTTTTGCATGCCTGAGAGATAAGTGGCTTGTTTCATTTCTCTCTCAACATCTTCTAGTGGGTTTCCACCTTGAACCTTGTTTCCGTAGATCTTCTACATGGTCTCGAGGTATGATTGTTGCTTGAGTTGATGTTTTTGTTGATAGAGTGGGTCGTAGTAGCCGAACTGTGGTGATTAGACGTTGGCGTAGTGTCCATAAATGTTTTACATACCTGAGAGGTAGGTGGCTTGTTTCATTTCTCTCTCGAGATCTGAGAGTGGGTTTCCACCTTCAACCTTTGGATCTTGGACATTGTAGTGACCGTGGATGTTTTATAGACCTTCAAGGTAGGCAGCTTGTTTCAATTCTCTCTCAACATCTTCGAGTGGGTTTCCACCTTGAACCTTTGTTCCGTAGATTTTTTGCATGGTTTCGAGGTAAGCTTGCTCCTTGAGTTGATGCTTTTGTTGATAGAGTGGGTCGTAGTACTGTGGTGCTTCAACATATGGGTAGATGACACCTGGAGCGAAATAGGTCTCTGGTGACATGATGAGTTGTTGTGAGTTGACGGCTCCAACGAGGGCAGCGACAGCAATGCTTGAGTAGGACTTCATTGTAGATCTTTAAGGTAATTTATTAAATTATTAAATCTTTTATCAAACTCAAGCCCTTTTATATTTCAGGATAATAATATTTTATTGTATTTAAAAGGATATTTATTAATATAAATCTTTATAAAATAACATAATTTGAATTTGCCTAATGGGGTTTTGGGGTTTTGGGGTTTTGGGGTTTTGGGG